GGGACTCTCCAACACGTGTACAACTACGAGGTGTGCAGGACGACTGACTCCAGAAAGAGTGACTGTAAGTTCGGCAGAGCTGGTAGTCAGAACGTACTGATCATGGACCCCAGTTCTACAGGAACGATGCAGCGGATACAGAGTGAAAAGAGCATCCTGGATGAACCAGACTCTACTCTGGAGGTTAGTTAAAAGCGCTCAATTGTAACTGAAAGGTGTTTCCATTCTCTTAGTTTGCAATGTTATATGCCAGGCGTCTTATGCTTTCAGTACCATGGAGAGAGGTGCCAGACTCTCCTCTATTGATTGGTAACCAGGTTAAGTTCGTTTAATAGTTTTCATGTCATTTGAAACTGATTTGTTTGTTACAAGGCATCATGTTGGCTGCATTTCAGTACCCTGGACAGCGACCATAAAAGCCTAGCTCCTTTTTTTTCTCTCCTCCTACATGTGTCTGTCTCTGTCTGTTGTAGCCTCTCTGGTATCTATCCCAGTTTCATAACACAATACTAATCATTCATATTTATATCATAATAATCAAGTATTTTGAGATTCTTACTTTATTTTGATAACAAATTGTAATAATTTTGATAATTTTGCACATATGTGAACTTTCAGTGTTTTTTTTTCTCTTACTGTTGCATTTTAATATGCATGGCGTTATTGTTGCTTGTCTTATGTACTTTCACAATTTGAACTCACTGGGCCGCTGTTGCCCAGCGTGTTGCAGTGGAGCATTGCTTTTGGAGGAGATCCTCCCCGCCATAGTTCTGGCACAATACTAAGGCTCAGGCTCAGATATACAATTCCCTCCTCGGAGATCAGACCATACGATCTACAGGGATCTCCAACCGGGATTATATTTTTCTGCTGTATGGACGTAAACAATATTCTCTTCAGTTTTTGTTTACATGGGTGGAATCTTACTGCTCAAACGGAATATAACGATCTATTTGTTGTGCTACAGAGATATCGACCAGAACAATGAAACGGCAAGTACTGTTGTTAATCTCCATCTTTTGCCTGCGTCCTGTGCGCGGACAGGTCAGCTACTCAATTCCGGAGGAAATGGCAAAAGGCTCTTTGGTCGGTAACATTGCTCAAGATCTAGGTTTAGACGTCAAACGGCTGCGGTCGGGTAAAGCTCGTATTTACACGGGAGACAGCGCTCAGTACATCGAGCTGAATAGAGAAAGGGGAGTCCTCCTTGTTAAAGAAAAAATAGACCGTGAAGCGCTCTGCAGACAGACAACGCCTTGCGCTCTGCATTTTCAAATTACGTTGGAGAACCCATTAGAATTGTTCCCGGTTACTGTAGAAATTACTGATATTAATGACAACGTTCCACAGTTTCAAAAGGAGGAGAGGAGATTCGAAATAAGCGAGACTGCCGTCATCGGCTCTAAATTCTTGCTAGAGAAAGCGATTGACCCTGATATCGGAGTAAATGGTCTTCAGAGATACACTCTAAAGCCGAGTGACAATTTTGCGCTGAAACTGCATTCTCAGTCCGATGGAAGCAAAAAGGTAGAAATGATTTTACAGAAGCCTTTGGACCGAGAGAAACAAGAGCATATATCGTTAGTGTTGACTGCGGAGGACGGAGGAGAGCCGCAGATGACAGGAACAATGCAGATTCACGTGACTGTGTTGGATGCAAACGACAATGCCCCTGTCTTCAGTAAACAGATTTACAAAGCAAGTATTACAGAAAACTCCGCAATAGGAACACTCGTTACTAAGGTCAGTGCTTCAGATGCAGACAAAGGTTCCAACGGAGAAGTGACATACGTCATCGGGAATAGCATGGATACTGTTTCAAAATTATTTCACATTAATAGTCACGGTGAGGTGATATTAGATGGTGCAATAGACTATGAAAAAGAAAAACATTATCACATCGACATAGAGGCGGTTGATCAGGGCGGACTCTCGGATTCAAGTAAGATAATTATTGATGTAATTGACGTGAACGACAACAGCCCTATTGTAAATATGATATCAACATCCGGTTCAGTACCGGAGGACTCTGCCCAAAAAACTGTGATAGCTCTAATGAGTGTCAATGACCCTGATTCTGACACTAATGGCAAAGTCCAATGTGTAATAAATGAAAACATGCCGTTTGAAATTAAATTTACCTCCAATAATTTCTATAGCCTACTAACAGACACTGAATTAGACCGAGAGAGATCCTCTGAGTATAACATCACAGTGACCTGCTCTGATGAGGGAGTGCCCTCCCTCTCCAGCAGCGTCACTCTCACCTTACAGATCTCTGAYGTGAATGACAACGCGCCTGTCTTTGAGAGGAGCTCATATGAGGCTTACATTGTAGAGAACAACACACCAGGTCTCTCTATATTCACAGTGAAAGCCAGAGACGCTGACTGGAACCAGAATGCCCGTGTTTCTTACATACTGGAGGACTCCTCTGTTAAC